GACAGGGTCTCACTATGTAGTTGAGACTGACCTGGAACTCACTTTGTAGCCCAGGCTGGTCTCAAACTCATAGTGATCCTCCTGCCTCAGCCTCCTGAGTGCTGGGATTACAGGCCAGGCGTGTGTCACCACACCCGGCATCCACCTCTTATCTTGACCTATTAGGCTGATGCTCAGCTTGTTCTGACTGGGTGGTTAAAAAAGATTATGAAAAGCATCCAATTTGATCATTAGGGCTGTTACACAAGTTGGAAGAGTACTCCTGGACAGGCCTAATTTATTATTCAAAAGAAAATTGATTAGATTTGAGAGCTACAGAAAATACATCGACTTGTGCTCAATGTATCCTGTCGCCTGCCTCACTTTCCTCCTACCTCTTCTACGTATTTTCAAAAATGATCACAAAAGAAGATACAATAGCAGCCAGAAGAGAAAAACTGAAGTTTCATTTATTGAACATTGTATGTTCATAATGAATGAGGTATGCCCTCATTTTGCAGTATTAAAAACTGCTTCTAGTTTTTAAATGTTTAAATTAAAAATAAAATAAATCTTACAGTACAAGAAAGTAAAAGACAGCCACTAGCTATTCAACACTTTTTATACATACCTAACAGTTTTAACTTTTTACTTCGGTTAGTATTATTATAGTTTTTATTGTTTTCTTTAGTTCTAAAGCGATAACTAAGCCTGGCACACTGGATGAAGCCTGTAATCCCAATACTGGGGAGGCTGAGGCAGGAGGATCACTGTAAGTTCCAGGCCAGTATGGGCTACATAGTGAGTTCAAGGCCATCTCAACTGCATAGCAAGACCCTCTCTCAAAAAAATAAAAAATAAAGCCATAACTAACAACTCTAAAGAATAAATATCAGCATTACATATATACAAATCTAGTAAAATATTTCATATATGAACTAAAATTTGTGCCTACCAACCCCCCAAAAAACTATTATACTCTATTTCACTGTTCTATAGTTTTTAAATAATAGTAATTCAATTTTTAATTGCTTGGCAAACCAGAGTGGCTGTACCATTTCAGTTTCTCCTCTATCTCGCCAACGCTTGTTATTTTGACAGCAGCCATTCTAAAAAGTATGAGGTGATATCACATTGTGGCTTCAATTCACACTTTCCCAGTGATTATTGACCTGGAGCATTTTTCATAGGTTTATTAGTCATTTATATATGTATGTCGCCACTGGAGAAATGTTCACTCCCTACTCTGTCTCCTGGCCGTCAGGATCTGTGCTTATTCTCCTATCTGACCATCTTTCAGCTTCTAACCTATAAGCTGTTGACTGAATCTTTTCTCTTGAATTCCAGTCACTAAGACAGGATAAAAAAATTAAGCGCTTTGTGCCAGGTGCCCTCCTAGGGGACCTGTTAGCTGCTTTGCACACTGATTGTCTTTGAGTCAGACAGCCAGTCCTGTGCAACCACTGAGGACCAGGGATGGCAGGGCCATGTGCACTGCGTTCCTTAGAAAGCCTAACAAGACAGGCCTTCAAATAGGGTTAGAAAGGAATTACAGTTCTTTCAAAACCAAAGCTTGGAGTCAATTTAGGGGTTACATTATGTTGGTTTTAAAGAGTTTTCTAAGGCTAAAAATTTCACCAATAATCTTACTGCCAACCTTTGTTCAGTGGAGAAGTGGCTGAGTACGTATGACTGCATGAACACACACATAGAGAGCACAGCACCATGATGAAAGATCAAAGATATATGTGTTACCATTCTCAACACCACGAAGAACCTTCTATAAGACAGCCCCTTCCTGGGAGCCTCCTCTGAACTCCCACCACTCCCATCTTCCCCCTCAGTACATACGCTACATTGTATCATAATTGCAATGTATCATAATTGCACAGCACAGGGCCTAGCACAAAGCAGACAGAGTAAGAGTTATTGCATGAACCATTATCATCATCAAAATAAGTTACCTCTTTCAGAGCAGTTACTGAGTAGTTTGCCTCTATTGTCCTGAGGGCTTTCCCAGTCCAGAACACATAATCCATAATCCAAAGTAGCCTCCAGTCGTCCTCTCTAGGTCATAACCTGAACAGGAATTATGGCTTTCTGTAATAGTCTTAACTGTGTGCAGATTGTCACCTGTCACCTGCCAGCAGAAAGTGCTAGAACAAGAATGTCATCCACCTCATGTTTGGCACACGGAAAGGAAATTAATAGATCTAAACCTCTGGCCTCCTGAGGCGAGGGTTTACTTGCACACAGTAGGTCTCAGCAAATTCTGTTCTAAATTTTATATTCAGATTTCAAGGTAATTGTGTTGAATATTTTATAGTGCAGGGTGGCTAAATAAGTTGGTTACATGACCCAGGGACTGACATTGCTATGGGAATTTCTGCTGCAATAAGAAAACCACTTCCTGTAACAGAGGGTCCTCCACATGCCTGGGCCTTGCCACATCCTGACAAAGGACAAGACTCATCAGGCTAAGGCTGGGGCAGTGCACATCCCAGACGCTCACACCAGAAGATGTGTGCGAGTGGAGGGGACATCCGACCCCTCGGTGGGCGTCGGCCACCGGCAGGTGTGCAGCAGGGTCTGCGCGGGACACTGCGGCGCCCAGGCGGCCGAGCCAGCGGCCCCGGGTTCTCCACCTAGAGACCTGCGCTGACGCCGCTCTTCTCCTCCTCGAGAC